AAGGAAGGGGAGAGAATGAGGAAAATGGTAGGAGAAAGGGTGGAGAGCTAGATGGAGGAAGAAGCCTTGGTTTCTCAATAAGTCTATATACAAGCTAGATCTTCAGAGCAGTCACGAACTATGGATCTCAGTAATATTTGACCTATCACTTTTTTTTTAGGCATCAATAAATTTACAAAAAAGCTTCGGAGCCCATATGCAATTGATAACAATGAACTACTTGACTTCCTTTCCAGAGTTCCTTCAGATGTACAAGTGGTATGTAGGTTTCATTATTATTACTGCTATTTAATGTAGTGTGGCACTGGATTTTAACTTTTAAATCCTTTTAATGTGAAAGGCTTTAATCAGGTAAGTTAATAAATCCTACAGCAGATTTTACCAATCAGAAAAAAAAACTTTCAAATAACCAAGAATAAGAGTAGATTATATGAAAAATCTACTAGCATTCTGTTTATCTGTTCCTCTGGGAAACTGACTAAATATATTTAGGTTCCAAAAAAACCTACCAATAATCTTGGGGAGAATCCTCCTCCAAGCTAAGGTCAACTGAAAAGGACATCATCATAATCTGAGGGGAGAATAAGGAATATATAATATACATATATAATATATATATATATATATATTATATATGTATATATATGTGCCTGGGCACATCTTTGAGCTTTTTTGCTCAAGGCTAGTGCTCTACCACTTTGAGTCATTTCTGGTGATTAACTGGAGATAAGGCTGGCTTTGAACTGTGATCCTCAGATCTCAGCCTCCTAAGTAGCTAGGATTACAGGCATGAGCCACTAGCTCCCACTGAGAATAGGAATATTATTAGACGGTAAGTGACATCTGGTAGGTTTGGGTTTTTATAAAAGAAACCATTTTTCCACAAACTATTTGTCCATATCACACAAACAAAAGATGCATGCTGACCCATAATTTCAAAATCAGATAGATGAGGAAGAAGTTGACTACCTTTTGAATACTAAGGCATATCCTAGAGGAGTTAGAGCCTACTACCATCAACTGAGTAAAAAATATTTTATAAAAAAAGCCAGGAAGTTATGTATATCAAACGAAAAGTGGTATTACTGCAACTAAACAGTGGGCTGAAAAGATATGATTATTCAACAAAGTGTAGACTCATTGTCTAATCTTTCAAAATTAGATTGAGATGATTTTTCTTTTAATGTAATGTTATGGTTATTGAAGACTCTAACACTAAGTTCACATAAGGATTCATTAAATCGCTGGCAGGTTTTTCCTTCTGATTCTAGCTCTAACACTGTACTGTTTTCTGTATCTAGCTGGAGATCCCATTCAGCCTCGAGAGAGTACTTCCCCTTCAAGCAGTCTCTCATTCCTTTGCTTGTCAACTTCCTCAGAAAGTGGCCACCTGACCAGTCTTTCTCTGAACTCTGTTTAAACAGGTGCAATACCAAGAGCTGAAACCAGATCCTTCTCATAGCCCATATAAAAGGAAGAAAAACAATCTTGGCTAGCCAGCTCCCAGAACTGAGGAGACCAGCATCTGTTTGGGAAGATAAAAGAAAAAGCTTTCAGCCTCGGCAGAATTTCCTTTCTGCTTCGTATTTATTTTGCCTTTTTATCATGATTGAAAATTTATAAATAGTGTACAAAAGGCGTATGTTTTTGAAAATATACTTCCATTGTACAGAATTGATAAAGGTATTGCTAGTAGTCTTTGAAAGCCTTGTTAGCTATGGATAATTAATATGTCAGAGAAAACTGTAAGGGTGATAACACTGGAAGATACACATTATTGTGTTCTGATTAAATCTACATAAAATAGTTTGATTTTAGAATTTTTTTTAAAATGTCACTATTTTTTATCTGAAAATCCATTACCATTTTCTATGTTTTATATTCAAAAAGGGGAAATCCCAAAGCTGTAATCATGGATACAATTCGAATTAACTTAGATCCTGACTTTCACTCCTGTGCAAATTACTAACATATGATTGGGTTGGTTTTAAGCTAATAAATTCAGGTATATTTACCCTCAAGACAATCTTAGATCCTGTAAAGCAAACTTAATAAACTTAATGAGCCTTCTATCATTCCATCTAAAACCTTAAAATCTCTCCAGAACTATGTAACGTAAATACTGCCAGGTTTATAAGTGATTGCCTATCTAAAGTTTTATATTTACCACTACTTTAATTTATACCGAGTTAGTCACCAACCAATTCAGTTGTTATACATAGTAGCAAATGAAACCCATACTGCTTTTGGTAAATTATACTTTTGTGCATCTAAATGTTCAATCTCAAATGTTCAATGAAAAAAAAGTATCTGCTGTCTTATTAGGTTACTAAAATGCTTTAATGCATACTTTGATTTTTGTGTTTTTTTTGTGTAAAAAGAGAATGCAGTGTGCTATGACAACATTTCATTACATTCATTTAAGAAAAAAGGCCATCATTCTTGATAATATGAATGCATGAAATATTGTTTTGTAAGATAAACTGCTTATGTGGGGTTATGTTAAAAACATTTCAGTACTTACCACAGAATCTATACTTAAAACACTGCAATCCCAAGACTTATCATAGCTTTTATACTTAACTAACTCCCTGATGTATTAAGGAACATAACCTCTGGAGGAAGAAATAATTTGGTGTGTGACAATGTCTTACTTCACTGACTTGCTCGGGGATTAATCTCAGTTGAGATTGCTGCAGATAATGTTTTGCACTACTTTATTAATAAAGAGGTCAGGGTAATGATGGAAAACAGAAAAGAAGAAAGCAAGAAATATGTTTCAATCTAAGAAGATTCTTTAAATCTCATCAAAGCTGATTTTTAAAGTATTTTTATTTTAGAGATATGTTGTTAAATAGTATTTCTTAAAATAGAACTATTTTGATCTATTTATACTATGCTGGAAAGAATATCAATTAAATTCCCTTTCTACAGATAGAGCATATTGAGGTCAAAAACAATTATTTAGTGCATCATGTTTAAAAATGTCATGCTTACATCTGCATATTATCACTGTTTGTTGCAAAAACATACTACTATTTCACGAGCTGTTACTAAAGTTTATTGAGATAATGTGTTTTGGATTAACCTTTGATTATACCTTGTGTGAGATTTGTGTTGACAATGTCTACTCAGATATTATAAGGCTGATATTCTACAACCTCAGATGTGAATAGTAACCATTAACAGTCAACTAATTTGTTTCCTTGTATTGGATTTCAGATGTTTAGTTCAATGGTAATGTTGAGTACACATTCACTGCATTAAATACAAAAGAAAATTTATAATCAGTACTGTTTTTTTTTTCACCTGGGGGAGGTTAAGATGGGGAACTGTATGCATTAAAATTTTTTTAAGATATAAAGGTAAAATAGAGAGCTTATTTAAAAAATATTTTCATCTCTAAATAGTTGTACAAAGGAGTTGTTATTCAACAAAGCAGTTTATGAATACAGTGTGTCTTGATCAATGTGACCACCCCTTCAACATTCCTTCTTACCCACCCCTCCCAGCTTACCTTTCTCACTCACTTTTCTTAATTTTTAAGGTATTTACTTTTTTCTTTGCTATCTAATAACTGCATATTTTTATAAAGAACACAGAGAAATATGTACTTGGTTTGAAAAAGACAAGGCTTTTCCTGAAAGCCTGCCTATTGTATAAAACTGGAGTGGTGAGGTATCCATTGAAGTTGCGATAGAAGAATAGCTTGAAGCATGCATATCAGGCAAAAATCACTGCTTTTATAAACTACTGCATTCACAGCCTGAGACGAGACTACATCTGGTAAAATTCTAATTTTCTCATATAAGTACATTTTTGTTTTAAGAAATGCTTAATTTGTTTTGGGTTTTGAGAAACTGATCTTGAGATAAGATGCTAAATCATTATCCTCAGGAACTTTTAGTCACTAAATTCAAAGTCATCACCTATATATATTCCAAATTTTTATAACTATTGTGTTAATACATAAGCCATCCATACCTATTCATATTTTAACTTTTTCCTCACCTACAAAAAAACAATTTGAATATAGGGTAGAACCGAAAAAAAAACCCCAAAGTACCACGTTGAGTTCTGGGAATTCAAAGTTATTTTTGAAACACCATTCTAAGACAATATGAGTAAGAAGTTTTTTTTAATGACTTTGCTTTGTGGTATTATTTATTGAGGACCTATTATATTAATTGTCAAAAGCAATGGCCAAAACATTTTAACAGCCATTAAATATTAAAACCAAACCTGGAGTTCAAGAACTTAATTATGTTTCTGATAACAACTTTTATAGGATTTTTTTTTCTGCATTTAAAATGAAGAAAAACTCATTAGTATACTTTTTATCCAGGGACAGGAGTTTTTGGTTTTGTTTTTATTTTATTTTTTATTTTTGGGTCTGGTTTTGGGGTCTGAACTCTGGGCCTGGGCACTGTCCCTCAGCTCTTCAGCTCAAGGCTAGCGCTCTACCATTTGAACCACAGCGCCACTCCGGCTTTTTTCTTTTTGCTTATGTGGTGCTGAGGAATCAAACCCAGGGCCTCATGCATGCAAGGCAAGTGCTCTACCACTAAGCCACCTTCCCATCCCCTTGGTTTTGTTTTTAATACTTGAATTTCAACATCTAAAAATCTCTAAAGTTGACAAGAGCCCACTTTTGTATTAGCAAATCTTAACCAAGCTATATAGTTTGTAAACTTATCAGATGATGCTTAATGTTTTTTACGCTATAAATTTTGTACTTAGCAATAAACACAAAATGTGAGGTACTTGATGCTATAGAAATACATGGAAAGAAACACCATTACAATTCGTGGAAAGGCTGGAGGTGTTGTTAAATTAGTATGAATTTAATTGGGGCTTTAAATGTCTAATACTGTGTGTAAATATACAGATAACTGATTTGATTTATTAACTGGTTTGATTAGAGCATGTAGCCAGACATTTGTAACAGCTTGGTTGAGTATGAATTAAAATCACATAAAAATAATGTAACGAATACTTACAATACTGTCATTTCTTTCTTTTTTAGTTTTTCCCCAGGATAATAAGTAGACCTCAAAAAAGAAAAAAAATTGTCAATTTCTTCTGGTAAAACTATTACTCTTATATCATAGTTTCTACATTCACATAGTGGTGGTAATTTATACAGTGGCAATCACAGATCAAGATTTAGTCCAGCTGAATTTCTGAGGTTCAAAAATTTGAAGAAAAATATCTTATTATGGAAGACACTACACAAATAAATAAATATCCAAATTATTTATATAATGTAGAAATGAGCAATGCAATTTTTGTATTTGTACTGTCCTAAGGGGATCTGGGTTAAGAACCAAAAAGAAAATGTTACAAAAAATCAAACTAAATATGTAATTGGTCACATCCTTCTTTTACATTCTAAGCCAACAAAACCCTCCAAAGTGAACAACAAATGCATGCAAAAAATATTAGTTTTAAAGACACAGTTTTAAGTTTTTTTGTTTTGCCAGTCCTAGAGCTTGAACTCTGGCACTGTCCCTGAGTTCCTTTTTGCTCAAGGCTACACTCTACCATTTGAGCCACAATGCCACTCTTGGCCTTTTCGGAGTAGTTTATTGGAGATAAGAGTCTCACAGACTTTCCCAACCTATCTGGCTTTGAATCTCAATCCTCAGATCTCAGCCTCATGAGTAGTTAGGATTACAGGTATGAGCCACTGGCACCCAGCTTAGTTTTAAGGTTTACAGGTTAGTTTTGTCTTCAAATGTCACCGAGAAATTATGACTCCTTTTCCTTAAAAAGTAACAAATGGCACTGCTGTTCTGCACTAGTCAATGAACAATTTTAAAGTGCCTTAGGCAGGGTTAGGAAGGTGGCTCAGTGGTAGAGTGCTTGCCTTGCATGCATGAGGTCCTGGGTTTGATTCCTCAGCACCATATAAGCAGAAAAAGCTGGAAGTGGCGCTGTGGCTCAAGTGGTAGAGCGCTAGCCTTGAGCTGAAGAGCTGAGGGACAGTGCCTAGGCCCAGAGTTCAGGCCCCACCACCACCACCAAAAAAAAAAAGTGTCTTAGGCAGAGAGCTTTACAGGTATTTTAGGTGAGTAGCTATGCTATAGTTTCAGTAGGCACTTAGTACCCTTGTAGACTTCTCAATGTTTCTTCAAGAAAAGGAGTGGTAAACTTGAGTTTATGAGCAACAAGAAAATCTCAATTTCCCAGGAGGACTGAATTTGGGGAGATCCTGAAAGGATGAAAGCTCCCACTACTAGTGAGGAAAGATAATATAAGCACAATCTGGTCAAAGACAAGCTTCAAAATTGTTTGAATCAAGTTGTATTTTTATTTTGCCAGGACTCAAATGATGACATGTTTGGAGGAAAAGCTAAATTCATATAGAAAGGAGCACACTTGGCTCCAGCCATTCTTAATGTCTTTTGCATTACTGGAGACACCTGAGACAACAGTCACGCATTATTAAACAGACAGCTGGACCACAGAAGAGAAGCAAATGGAAGGAAATGCCAGTATCGGTCCCAATTTCAGAAATCCTTTTTAAAGCTATTACCAAACTGGAACCACATAATTATATTTCTTATAATTGTAATCACTACTGTATTAAGAAAAAATGTAAGTCAAAATCTGTGTAGAAGTTTCTAGTTCCTATTATATGGGGAGGATATGTTTATTTTATAAATTCTGTTATATAACAGGAGACATAGCTAACACTAATTTCTGACCAAACTTACACAGTGGTGTACCTATCTCTTACCTTGTCCTGGTATAATTGCAAACATAAGTTTCTCTTCACAGAAAGACCTTGTAAGAACCTATGCAGAAAAGTCAAATATTATGCATCAGTTGAAGTTTTAAAATAGAATAATGAGATGTCCATTTTATTTGAAATGTGTGATTGTTTAAAATTTCCTTCTAGAGCGTATAAGGGAAAAAGTAAACATTTTTGGGGTGTGGACCACGAAACATTTTGTACTTAGTAATTTAACGAAGATCCAAACACATCTACTCTTATGGGATGACCGGCATATACCAACCACTGGTTCCTACGCACTATGATGCTAGCTCAAAATTACACATGTACTTGGGCTCTGTGACAACCCTAACAGCTGAGAAATCATTCCACCTAAACAGACTGATATTTGTTAGTGTAGTGTACTTACAATGTGGTATCCAGTGTACGTACATACCGCTTTGAGCTACACTACATTAAAACAGTACCTAACACAGGAAGCCACTTTTCTGGTATTCACATGAGAGTTGCAGAACAGCATGTCCTAGAGAGCAATGCTAAGAAAATCTCAATTCTCTCACTAGACAGCTGTTTCTATCAGCATTTATGTTGTAAATAGTAAGTCATACAGTAAAATTTTCCCCCCAAGATCAATGATGAAGAAAAAAAAATTCCTAATATCACAGTAGTGAACTCCCTTCAAAGGCTGTTAGGCACAAACTTTGAAAAATATAGTTATTTAATCACACCATTTCTCTCTCTGTTTGAGTTAAATATGAAAAGACTTTTTAGACAATATACATAATTCTTAAGCTGAACCACAGTTCCACTTCTCTTAAGCTTCCTTCAGTATTTCTAAAATCAGAAAAGTAAAAATAAGTGATACCATGATTTCACATGAAAAGCTTAATCTTTAGCAAACTAAGAATATTACTAAAGAGTACTGACTTGCAAATTGTCATCCAAACATGAGAAGAGTTCCAATGTAGCTGAAAATGAAATCTAGAGAAAGCTTATTATGAAGTGATTATGATTAGTCATATTTACTTTCTAAGCAGTAGATAGTACAAGTGAATTTGAAATGCATATTACCTATTAATTGTATTTTAATTACATTCCACATTGAAGAAAAATTGAGTATTTTAAAGCTTTGTCTTTTAAAAATTCAGCAGATAAAAGTTTAAATAAAACAACTTTGAAAATATTTCAAGACTCTGAGATAAGGAACATTACTGTAAAAATAAATTCATTACTATTCTAAGTAAATACAAATCACTAACAAAAAAAACCCTTGTACCTAGCTGTGAGAATCCCAGCACTTAAGAGGCAGAGGCATGAGAAAAGTGAGTTTTATGCCATCTGGAGCTACAGTTTAAAGTTCAAGGTCAGCTGTACAATGAGACATTTAACCAAAAAACAGGCGAAAAGAAACATCCAAAGCAAAAGTTATATAGAAAAGTTATATGAAATCTACTACTAGCGTGTTTACTAATTTAGAACAATTTTAATTGCACTTAGATAATGGGTGTTTTTAGTGATTATTTAGGGAATTGTTAATGGTTTTCAACCTGTTTAAAAGTCCACCTCTTTCAAAAACATGTTTGAATAGTAAATAAAAGTATTTTTTTAAAGTTTAAAAGAACTAAAATGGTGGGAAAGAAATAAGACAAATAGACCTACCTAATTTAGGGTACTAAGTATTTTTCTTTTTTACAAAACAGCCTGTTTCTATGATACCACTGAAACTGTATATTTTCATTCATTTAATTAAAAAAATGAATCTTGCCTAATAGTAGCTAGACTCTTCCTTTACTAAAATTATTCAAATTAAAAAAAATAGTTCATTCTTGATACCATACTGGGCTGTATGCGTTCACTGCTATTAATATATTAAATAGCATTTGGAAATTTTTCTACCATAATTTCTTTTTTAAATTTTAATTTTGTCGTGAAAATACCATACAGAGGGGTTACAATTACATGGACAAGATAATTAGTACATTTCTTATCAAGATTGTAGCCCCCTTCTTTACCATAATTTCTTTATTATTGACAGCATTGGGTTTAAATTAGGATCTTCATGTCCTCTGTCCTTTTTTCATGTTTCCAGTCAGGTCTTAATTTTTGTCTGAGCCAGGCTGGATCTTTTTATTTCTACTTCTCAAGTTGCTGGGATGACAGGCACACACCATCAAAACCCAAGTCTTGAGAACTTTTGCTTGGGCTACTCTTGAATCTCAACCTTATTCCCTGGACTAGCTAGAATTATAGAACTGCACCATCATGTTCACCTCCTTGAGCCTAGCAATATCCAGTTTCCTTATCCGTTTGCCCAGTTTTCTTCTTTACAATTTTGTTATTATGTTTACACAGAAAGTCCTTTAAAACACATTATAACTTGCTCAGTAATTCTGTTGTAATAGAGACAATACAAAGCAAAAAATGGATCTTTAACGCAAAGCTACATACCTAAGGTGTACCTTCCCTAAAATAAAAACAAGCCTATTGCAAATCAAACCATTCTGGCAATTAGAAAAAAATTATCAAGGGTTCTATCATAAACCACTGTGGACCTGATCTTGAAAATCAGAACCATTGACAACAAACTAAAATCTTTTATCTTCAACTAGACTGTTACATTTAAGGACAGAGGAATGGAGAAGCAATGCTAATTTTAATCAGTCTATTCACAAGACAAATGACAGTAGGATAGGTGTGAATTCCAAGCTGGATTTCAGATTTTTCAGTTCAGAGCAACTTGTCCTCTGGATGTGCTAAACAGTTTAACCTCTACTATTTGAGAGAATAAGTTCATGTATTCCAAAATAGGGAGTCATTCTCTATTGACATGAATAATGCAGTTATGCTCACTTGATATTTGGGAAGGATGATGATTAACTGTGCTAAAGCTGGGTTTAACATACCAAAAAGGATTAGGAAACAAACACAAAAATCTTGAGAAAATTTTCAATTCTATTTGAAGACAGTTATTTGAGTTCTATGCATTTATTAAGGTCTATGTGTTTTATATATATATATATATATATATATACACACACACACACACACACACACACACACACACACAACTATTTTATTAGGATTAGTTTTTGTAATAAATCACTGGTCATTCTGATGACTTAAATATTTGATTTTAATTCAGCACTAGCTTTAAAACCTACATAAATATCCAAGTATACATAACGTATTAACTGAAATGATAGATTTAAGGGAGAACTCAATGTAATTCCTTTGGAAGACTAATAGTCCAACAAAATACATAAAATACAATCAGATACTCAAAAGTGTGCATGCACAGAATCAACTCCAAATGGATCAAAGACCTTAAGGTAAGCACAGATACCCTGAAAATATTACAGGAAGAGATAGGGGATACACTAGGGCTCCTTGACACAAGTTGAAACTTCCTAAATGAAGATCCAGAAATGCAACAAATCAAAGAAAGGCTGGATAAATAGGATTGCATTAAACTGCAGACCTTCTGCATGTCAAAGGTCATAGCTAGCAAGATAAATAGCCCACAGATTGTGAGATCTTCATTAGCAATACAACAGACAAGGGCTTCATATAAAAAATATGCCTAGAGCTCAAAAAATTAACTCCTCCCCCCAAACACAATCCTCAAGAAAACAACCACCCCATTAATGAATGGGCTAAGGAATTAAAGAGACTTACCTGAAGAAGAAATATGAATAGCCAATAGACACATGAAGAAATGCTCAACATCTCTCGTAAATCAAAGAAATGCAAGTCAAAATTATATTGAGATTCCACCTCACATCAGTTAGAATGGCCATTATCAGGAAAACAAATAACAGATGTCATTGGGGATGTGGCCAAAAGAGAATGCTACTACATTCCTACATTGTTGGTGGGAATGTTAACTGGTTCAACCACTCTGGAAAGCAATAGAGAGGTTCCTCAAAAGACTCAACACAGAGCTCCCCTTTGATTCAGCAATCTCACTCCTGGGCATTTACTCAAAGGATCACAAACAAGGTCACCCTAAAACGACCAGCACCAACTATGTTCATTGACTCTATGACCATATAAAATGCTAATCAGAATTAACTCCAAGATATGGAAACAAGAGGCTTTTTATTGTTTCTGTTTTTGCTTTTTTAGTGTACTATGTGAAGTTATTTCTTCCCCCTCCCCCTTTGGCTTATCCCCTTTTGTCACTATTTTTGATTTTGGTAGCCTGTGTCTTGTATATAGAATTGTCTAATTTGGGGAAAGAAAGGGGAATAAAAATGATGAGACAAAGGACAAAGGGTGAACCAATGCAATGGGGATACTCACAAGACACTATGTTGGAAGTGAACTTTACAACGTTGGGGGAGAGGGGAGTTAGGGGGGAGGAAGGATGAGAGAAAATGAGGGAGTAAGACAGTTAAACAAGGTATGTACTCATTACCTTAAGTAAATGTAACCCTCTGATATCATCCTTACAATAAAAAAAAAGTATGTGTGCAGGAGATCAATGGAAAGGTGTTAGACAAATGAAGGGGGGCAGGAATGCATTTATAAAATTCAATGCATATTCTACAAGTTTTTTCTTTCTTGCTATTGCTTCTAACATATTTATAAGGTGATTTTGTTGCTTTGTATGTCCCTCCCCCAACATCACTGTATATGATATTGGTATAATTTGGGAAGGGGAAGGGAAAAAACCAAATTGGGATACAGGTGGACCCACTCCAACAATGAGATGTACAAAATGCTATAATGAAAAACAAATTTTACAACTTTGGCACAGGGGGTGTGGGGAGTGTAGTCATGGAGATGGGAGGGCAGGGATGGGCAGGGGAAAAACAAAGGAAGAGACAACAATGCTTGATAAGAAATGTACTTATTACCTCGCTCATGTAATTGTAACCCCTCTGTATGGTATTTTCTCAATAAAAAAACATTAAAAAAAATCTGAGGGAAGGGGTCAGGTTGGAAGAGATGGGGAAGAATGAAGGGGTTACATTAATCAAGATTCATTGTATTCATATACTACTCTGTTGAATGGGAACTTCTTTTGTACAGCTACTTATAGAAAAACAAGTTAAAAATAACACCAAAAAGTTCACTGTACTTCTATCATAGATTATATATAAAGTGTACATGTGTCCATATTTTAAAATGTTCTTTATTTAAAAAATATACTTAATATTATGTTTGTCACTTGCATCTAGTGATGAGGGTTATTGCTTAGGCTTTAAAAACATTTTTAAATAATTTGTTGTTGCTGGGCACCAGTGGCTCCCACATATAATCCTAGCTACTCAGGAGGCCGAGATCTGAGAATCATGGTTTCAAACCTGTCTGGCCAGAAAAGTCTCTGAGACTCTTTATCTCCATAATTTACTCAGAAAAAGCCACAGTGGCGGTGTGGCTCAAATGGTAGGGTGCCAGTCTTGAACACAAATAAGCTTAGGGACAGTACCCACACCCTGAGTCCAAGCCTCAGGACCAGTAATAAATAAAAAATAACTTGTAATAAAAACTATACACCTGGTTGTAGGAGCTTATAACATAAAATATTCTCAAAGAAAAAAAAATCTGGATGTTATCAGAGCCTATCTGGAGTAACTCTAGAGAAATGCTTTCTCTTCTCCAACAATTCACATAATTCATGTCTCTAGAACTAGATATGGATCTATGAAGTTTGGTGTTTTTATAAGCTGTAAAGTATGCTATAATCATTTGGGATGTTCTGTAAAATTCAAATTTACCGTAAGAGGGAAAATTCTATACAATTCTACACAAACATTATGAAATTCTTTTAACCTCTGAAAATGTCATCTTTGAATAGAACCTAAAGATGTATACTCAGAACCAAGTAAAACAATACAACTTTTCTAATTCATTTATAGCCTAGTGATTTCTACATCTTTACCAGAGCAAATAACCAACAAAATACATCCTCGTACTGCAATTTATTTTAACATACAAAGTGAATTTCTTGATAATATAATCTGACTTATAAGGAATAGTTAACTATGTCTCCAGTTTTGACATTACCAGGCACAGCCTCATTCTAGTAGTACCATCACTGGTCTTTCTAACTCAGTACAAATTATAAAAAAATTATTATTCTGAGTTTTGTAAGTTCCAGGAGGAACTTAAGCAGGCAACCATTCCTCATGTCCCTCTAATAAGATCCCTCTCCCCTGATCAAGGACAATGACAGTCTCTCATCAAGTTCATTGCTAAACTACAAAGTTCTACAAAGGTATGAGGACTTTACATTCCTCCTATCTTCTTTTCAAATTTGTCGTTTCTTTTTAGCCAGTCCGTGGGCTTGAACTCAGGGGCTTGTCACTGTCCCTGAGTTTCTTTGCTCAAGGCTAGCACTCTACCACTTGAACTACAACAGCACTCCAGCTTTTTCTGTTTATGCGGTACTGAGGAATCAAACCCAGGGCTTCATACATACGAGGCAAACACCCTACCATATATTCATCTGACTTTCTCTAATAAGGAAAAGGACAAGTATTTTCTGCAGCTTATGTAAAATAGTCTACTGTCAATACTATACTTATATATTCCTAAGAATAAGGAGTAATTCTTAAAACTGCTAAACCCTACCCTACTTGCTATCTATACTAAAATGAATCTGCTAAAATAATATTGATCAAAGAATTACACATGACTTTCATATTTCAAAAGTACAGCAGAGTACTGTTGCTGAGAATTTTAGAAACATATAAAATGAATTTTATTTTTAAAAGAATATATACAACACATCTCACAATACTTACTCCTAATTTACCTTCCCAGATGGTAAGCCTTTTCTTCTTTGTAGAGTTAGCTTCTGTCATGCATGCCACCTGGTATATGGTAGGTGTTCAAGAAATGTTGAATTCAAAATAATAATTTTACATTTGACTTACATAGAATAAACACATTTCTGGTCATCTTGAGGTGAGTGAACTACAAAAATATATATATGGACCACTTTATTTAGCTCAGTGAAATTAAGAATTAAGGACCCAGAATACCACAGAAAGGTATTTTCTACAGAACTGCTAATAAATATTGCATGGGGGAAAGCTGAATCTTAACAGCTCAAAAATCTCCTCCCAGGGTTTATTTATTTATGTTTATGGTGTGGTAAGGATTCTTAATAGGGTTTTATTTTGTTTTTGTTCTTTTAAAATCCTATGGAACTACGATATCAAACCTGTCAGGGTATAAGGAAGAATAATAGCATTACTCTACTTTTTCTTCAGTTATAAATTTGAGACATCTCCAACTGAAAGGCTAGGGCTCAGAAGTACTATTCTAGCTTTAAGAATTTATTTCCTCTACTCCTCAAACAGATTTAAGGCAATTATGTATTTAAGGCAAATCATATGTATAGTATATATATGATGTGTGTGTGCACAAAGAACAAACAAAACTGGGCAAGCACAGAGGCTCACATTTAAAAACACAGCTATTGGGCTGGGAAGGTGGCTCAGTGGTAGAGCGCTTGCCTTGCATGCTCGAGGCCCTGGGTTCGATTCCTCAGCGCCACATAAGCAAAAAGAAAAAGTGGTGCTGTGGCTCAAGTGGTAGAGCGCTAGCCTTGAGCTGAAGAGCTGAGGGACAGCACCCAGGCCCAGAGTTCAGGCCCCACGACCAGACCCAAAATAAATAAATAAATAAATAAAAATAAAAACACAGCTATTTGGGAAGTAGGGATTAGATGAACCATGGTTGGAGGCCAGATCTAACAAACAAACAAACAAACAAAAAACCCATCTAGTGAAACCCCATCTCAACAAACAAGCCAGGTACAGTTAGATCATGCCTGTAATGCCAGCTATGTGGGAGGCACAGTTAGGAAAATCACAGTGACCTGCGTCAGCAAAAATGTCAAGACACTCCCTGAAAAACAGCAAACAAAAAAGAATGGGACAGGAGTCAAGTTATAGAGTGCTTACCTGGTAAGTGCTTACCAAGATCCTATTCTTAGAGGCAGAGAACTCATTAGCATTTGAGTATTTCAAAGCATATCATCAAGGCTTTTAGTTGGCAGACATTACAAAATGCTAATGATAATTTCAACCAAATGAGTATTTCTTAAGGAACATCAAATTTTGAAAATTAAGTTTAGAGTTACTATTAAAACTAATGTTAGGGTTTGGGGAAAAACCAGTTGTTTAAGGATACAGGTGGACCTGTTGCAACAATGAGAAGTACAAGTTGTCATGTCCAAAACGAGCTTTACAATGTCGGTGCGGGGGGGGGGGGGGGGGGGGGGGGGGGGGGGGGGGGGGGGGGGGGGGGGGGGGGGGGGAAGGAGAAGGGTTGGGATTGGGGGGGGAGGCTGGGAAGTGAAGTGAAGGGTAAACAAAGGAGGAGGCTGCAATGTTGGTAAGAAATGTACGCATTATCCTGCCCATGTAATTGTAACCCCTCTGTACAGTACGTTCACAAATAAAATAAAATTAAATTAAAAAAAAACACTAATGTTAGGGTTAGCAGTCACCAACTTAAACTATTACCATCTTTCTTTCTGTTTTAGGTGATTCATTACAACCAAAACAGCAGGTAAGAACTAGAAAGATAGTAATTCTTATTGTCAGATAATGGCAGTCTAAATTCTATCATGACAAGGTTACTTGTTATTTGCAAGGATACCTAAGAAAAACAAAACTCACTTAGACTGCTGCTTCTAATTTAGTTATTAACAAACTAGACCAAGATTTGAAACTACATCTGCTATCAAGCTGATGGTATCTGTTTATCAAAGAAATCTAATCCTAGGTAGTTACTTCACTAGTAAAGTAATAAAAGCACTTGGTTTTTTTTGGGGTTGGTTGTGGAGTTTGCTTGAAGTCAGGGCTTGGGCACCGTCCTTGAGCTGCTTTTGCTCAAGGCTAGTAGTGCTTTACCACTTGAGCCACAGTGCCACCTGTGGATTTTTCTGAGTAGTTTATTGGAGGTAAAACTTTCTTGCCCAGGCTGGCTTTGAATCGTTAATCTCAAATCTCAATCTCCTTAGTAGCTAGGATTACAGGCATTGAGCCACTGCTGCCTGCTTCCACTTCTGTTTTTTAAGTGGTTAATTGGAGATAAATCTTCTATCATAGACTTTCCAGACTTGGCTGGCTTAGAATTGCCAGATCTCAGCCTTCTGAGTGGCTAGGATTACAGACATGAGCCACTAGCACCTGGGAATAAAAGCACTCTTATTACTTGGGGAATTACAATTAAGATCTTGTAAGGATGTTAACACTTTTAGTCTATGATAGGTAATATCTTCTGTGAAACTTTGGCAGACCAGATAAATAATAGTTAAAAAAGGTTTGTATGATGTCATACTTGAAGGCTAAATAAATATTTATGTAAAAAATTACTTTAAAAATGTAGAAAAAAATCTGATTTTTTATTTAGCTAATATAATGTAGCAGTTTTCACTTTAGATATAAGCCCAGTAAAAAGATACAAAATATTTCCTTATTAAAAGATATATTTTAAACATAAAATAGAAGAATGCCTCCTGAGCAGATTAAATACTGTGAGAACACCTAGTTACATAAAGGCAAAATGGAAGTTGGATGTTTCTTTTCCAATTGTATTACAATGTATCTTATTCCCACTAGTGAAGCATTCCAATTTCAAAAGTGGTTATTATCCATGGTCCTTTTAGTTTTTACTGTCAAGTGGCTGTTAGGAAAAAAAAAAGAAACCTGCAAATGGAAACATTATTACTCTGTAATTCCTACTGCATAAAATTTTAGATAATCTTAAGTCTATTACTTATATGTCAGTTGTTAGCTTAATAGTTAATAAAATCTATTATGCAGCAAAATGTATAGCACATTGTAGTGAACTGTTAAAATGGAACAGATTAAGGGACTCGATTGTCAGATTAGTTAACTACATTTAAAACCCAAATAATAAATATTATAGTTTAGAAATGTTTATTTTAGAAATACACAAAACTATAATTCCTGCAAAAAAATGGAGTTAACAGGTTAGTAGTTGAATATTTACATGAATATCCTGCCATGATTATATGACCTAAAACATCTATAAGAGGACATTACATTTTGTTTTGAAAAAAATATTTAAGTTATTTCTTTTACACATACAATATAAATAAATATCATTTTTCAGAACAAAAATTCTTAAAAATTAATGAAAGTTGTTTGTACTTAAAACTTCTGAGCCCAATTCTACGCACTGGAAAAAGTTCCATCCTTTATTTATGCAGATGTTTAATAAGTGCTTTTAAAATTCAGCCAGATTAGGAGGTCAATAAATAAGTCAAAATTAGTATTTGCCAGTAAGCTATGACACTTATGATGCCTATACAAAATGACAAAACAAGCTGGCATGATGATCATGCCTGGCATAATGCCTGGCATCATCATGAAAGCTCTGTGATTGACCGACACATTATGTCCAATGTTACCAGTAACGCCTCAGTATGTACTCCTGGACACAGTTTCATGTTCTCAGGCAGATCCTTAAGAATACCTGGGAGCTTCTGTAATGTCTTAATATTTCTAGCATAAAGATCCAATAACCAGTCGGTACGAGAACTAGTGGTTTCTTTATAACTAATACAAGCCATAAGAAGCTCATTTAGATGAGTTAACCCTTTGAAAGCTAAAATAAATTCTGAGGATAAATTAAAAATAGAACAAAAATTCAGCAACATTCTACTAAGTAAAAATGAACCAAATTCAAGTTGCTGGTGATAGATGTGTTTCTCTGTTTGAGCATGAAAGTTCTCCACTGTATCTTCTATTTTTGTAACAGCAAATAATTCTTCCTTGATTTGAGGCGATACTACATAATCCAAGGGCAATTCTCCTTTAGAGTCTCTCTGCTGTAAAAGCACTGCGCCTGTGAAAATAATAAAATACACAGTGTTAATCGTAAAACTTTATTTTGGCAAGTTAACAGCTGTTTTCTCGCCTTTTTTACCCAAATGATGCAGTGCTTTTTCCAATCATGTTTGCTATTAATTCATGTTGACATAATTAATTGGCTACACATGTTGATTGTTTAGTAAAGGTGTATTTTTTAAACGTGAAATTCTAGTCATTTGCCCAAGATTTACCTAAAAGCCTGTATCTTAAATAACTGAAATTAAAGACTTTCATCTTCAATATCATCTTAAAATAAGAAATTCAGTATTCCCAGAAAAAATTAACTAAATTCATTATCCTAAATTCTATATAAGAATCAAAGCTATATCATGAACAAGATGAGTTAATTCCCCTTTCCACTGCTGATAAATTATTCTGGCAGTGAAAAATGACAAGCTTTGAAGACAAAAAACACATTACTTATTGTTTGCTTATGTTTAACGTTAGTATGGGTAACTTACAAAAACTGAAGTGTCAAACTCAGAGTAAACCATTTAGTCAAACTATACCTATCTAATGACAAAATACTGAAGCTAGAGTTTATCCCCTAGGGAATGAAGGATGTGAGGAGCAAAACAACATTGACACAATATCTAGTAACATGGCAAAACACTTGAGTATTTTGTACCTTAGTCAATCAGATTTTATAATTTTTATTTATTTGGCCATAAAAATGTTACAAGGGATATAGAGGGATATAGATATACTATCTGAAACAGGATAGATTTTAAAAGCTTAAACTTTTTTTTTGTTGTTGTTGGCCGTGGGGCTTGAACTTTGGGCTTGGGTGCTGTCCAGGCACTCTTTAGCTCAAGGCGTGCGCTCTACCGCTTGAGCCACAGCGCCACTTCTGATTTTCTAGTGGTTTATTGAAGATAAGGGTCTCATGGACTTTCCTGCCTGGGTTGACTTTAAACTGTGATCCTGAGATCTCAGCCTTCTGAGTAGCTAGGATTATAGGAGTGAGCTACCTGTGCTCCGCTAAGAGCCTAAACGCTTAATGATGACTTCGACCTTTGATGGATATAAAGAACTAGGTAAAGAACTAGGTAAAGTGTATTTAAAATAAAAGATCAACTGTTGATGATATGTAATCAATGTATAATTTATGGAAAAAGAATTTTAAAATCAAACTTTATTTTTCCTTGTGTTGTCAAAACAAAAAATATGTTCCAATTATTCATATGCAATAAAAATTTTATTGACATTAAAAAGTGGAAAATATGAATACTAACAATGATAATATCAACTTGTGATAGGCCCAAACTCTGAATCTGACTAAGGCAAAAGTAAGCATAATTGCAAAAGGATCTTGATAAATACAAGTAGACTTCCTTTCTCAGATCAAGGAATGTACTACAGTTCCCTAGTAAAATTGCATTGGTTGGTGCAATACTGTATTTTACTAGGAGCTACACTTACTACAACAATGGCTATTATATCACTTACATTATTCAAAGCAAGACCAAATACTAGCTTGAATGTCAGATACACAATTGAGCAGAAAAATAGTTAAAGAGGAAAAACACTGTATTTTGTAAACAAACAATACTAGAAGACAGAAGAAAGGAAGTATATATTGATTGTGAAATGGTAACAGTAAAACAGATATACTAAGGCCTTTAGGGGGCAGGAGAAGACTATAAATAACCAAATATCTTTAAGCTATCTTGCTGTACAATCTTTCTTACATATATATCTGGCAAAACAGATATCTAGCTTTTTTGTCTTTATACAGATTTAGATGATTTAATTGCAAAATAAAATTACATTAAACTCTAAGATGAAATTAGCACAAATAAAAGCAATACAAGATTTATACAAATCTTTGATTTCATATTACAAGCTTATCAACAGCTTTTTTCTTTTGAAAAACACAAATCAGTGATTTAAGATTTATAACATTCAGTTCAGATTTAAGAATATCCGTAAAAATGAAAGGGCTTGCTAGAAACAAAGATTAAAAAATCAGCAGAAAAAGCAGATGAGTATCAAGCTTAATTTGCCTTCTTAACAACATCCCTGCATGTCAATTACTACTATTTGCAAACCCTCCTACTTCTCTTAATTGACTGTAAAATGTGAATACAGATAAATATTCTTAGGTTATCTTTTCATATCCTATAATGAAATGACACAGTGTGTAATGAAATGCCTTATAAAAATAACACCAAGTTAGTAGGTAGATATACAAAATAAAATGAATGGAAAATCCAAATAATCACAATAAACAAATATCCATTTATTAATAAGCTTATAGAAATGACAATTTACCAAGATGTTACATATGTTAAGTAAGAAGACTAACATTAAATTCAACATATTCAAATAAAAATATACTCACATGAAACTCAACATACAAGCACACATTCATACATATGTACATATACACACACATATATATAGTATGAAAGAGTTCTTATTATCAAGTACTAAGTCTAAAAATTTTTCTTCCTTATTCACTAGTATGTAATAAAAATCATTTTTCTGTAGATTTTAAAAATAAAATGCTATCTAGCTTCAAGGCTTTCATCAACCCCCCACAAAACAAAACTGGGTAATTTATCAAAACCCATTTAGCATAAATGCACTCACCCCCATGTTGTAGTAGCAGCTTGCCAATTTCTACATGTCCGTTTGACAGTGCATCATGCAAAGGAGTCACTCCGTCCACTTGAGTGAGCAGATCTACCTCTGGACAACGTTGCAAAATTTCCTGGACACATACTGTGTTGCCATAGTTACAAGCTTCATGCAAAGGCGTCCAGCCAGCATTGTCTAAATTAGAAATCAAGGCAAGTTTTAAAACAGTAGTAGTACTTTTGGCTATAAAGTATTGATGCTCTACTTCTTTCAGTATTACTCTGTAAGTGTTTCATCTACAAAAAAAGAGCTTTGATAAAAATGACCAAATTGCAACCATATTTCTATTTTTAAGAACATTTAAGTTAAACAATAATTTAAAAATGTTAATGTTGGGATGACAAAAATATAAACATTAAAAATATTCTTATACTATTAGTTACAAATCATTATACAGTGAAATTTATTTTGTTTTGCTAATGGTAGTAAGTAAAAATAAAATTCTCACAAATTTAGTTGGACTATTTTTCTTAATGTGACATATAACTATTCTATACCAGAAATTCTAAGACATGACACCACAAAGATATAGACCTTACCTTTAACATTGATGTCTACTCCTGGCAAAGAGAGAAGAAGAATCAATTTTTCCACTTGGTTATTTATGCAAGCTCTATGCAGGGCTGTTTCTCCTGCCATAAAAAATTAATAGATTATTCCAGAGAAGACAAGATATCAACTAAAGAAAATAATCAAAGGGCATGAACTAGAAGGTCTGGCCTCTTGCCAGAAAATTATTTATTGAGTTTTTCTTTTGACTGGTTTAAACATCTCTTGCATTAGAAAAGAGGGAAGGCAGAAGAACCTCACCAATCCACAGAGCTGCCTGTGCTATCAGCAATTCAGCAAGGAAATTCTACAGCAAAAGGTTTAACACAGGCATTGTCTCCCTGCAGTTCAAGGTTTAAAGCTTCAATCCTGCTATAAAAACCCCAAATGATCACAGAACACTGAAAATACTCGATTTTGCAGCAATAAAAGTTTAGAGTGCAATTGCCCCCTCTTAAATTTATTCACGAACCTACGTTAAATGTACGGCTCTTTTTATACAGCATTTATAGCTTAATTCAAACGACTGTTTCTGGCTAAGCACGAGTGCCTCTACACACTCAAGTATAATTCAGAACTTCAAATCCATTAACAGATGGTTTGCTGCTTCTCAATAGGCTGTCTGGCGTGGCTACAGCAGCAGAGAGGAAGAAATGGAAGAATCTTAATATAAATACCACACACACACACACACACACACACACACACACACACACACACACACACACACATACACACACAGACCTAAGTCATGAACACATTAAAAAAAAATCCCTAGTACCATTTAAAGCTGTATAGAATAACAAAGAGAATGGTAATGTTTATCCTAGGAGCAATTAGTAGCTGCTGGTTAAAATGATCAGTATCTATCTCTGTTATAGACAAGATAAATAAAATACAAGTGATATTTTAAAGTATGGAAAATTATTAGAAACTTATAAAAAGTAATTGCTTAGGAAATAAAATTCTGAATCAAATAATAAAATATTAAGTAGCACATTTTTACAGTGTTTTGTTTTTTAGATCATCTCCAACATCTAGCAAAACATTTCCTTTATATGTTTAGAAAAGCTTTTCAAATTTTCTCTATTTCGCAGTTCTCTTCTAGTTCCTTCTGCTTATCAGCTTAAAGTCATTCATATTCATTTTGCTTTCTGAAACAGTAAAACAAAGAACTGATTCATGAAGTTAATATCAGGTTTTCATCTAATACACTTTTCCTATTTTCGGCCAAATGGGCAGTTATTTTGACTCAGTTATAAGCCAATTATGAACTTACTCATATTGAAAGTGTGAGAAATTCATCATCACTATTATTACTACTTATAATACAAAATGGCTTATAAGCAATGAAATTCAGTAATTAATTTTGGACATGTATGACTCTTCAAGTATAATTTGTATTTTTCAAATTAAGATGTATCTAAGTAAAAGAAATGCCAGAGTGACTTAGTACAACTCTATTCTTGTTATTTCATCCTGAAGGTACTTAAGTTCCAGTACAGTTAGAACCAAAAGCCAAACACATTTCATAGTCTGGGCTCTGCGCCTAGAAGAAAAGAGCCCATATGCTTAACACAGCTATGTAACGTAGCCTACTCCTCATTCTTTGTTCACAAAATGTCTAGGACTGAAAGAGATGAAGCTCTGAATTATACTTTCAAATCAGATGACACTGATCCTGAGCAGCAGAGTTGAAGTGGAATAGAAAAGTAAGGCGGGCAAGTCTAGAATAACTTTAGTATCTGGAAAGGCAGGGGGAAAAAGATATCACACCAGGTATTAAATGATCACTTTTTTTGTGTAGATGACAGTTCAAGAAAATAACATGCTATCCAAGAAGGTATTTCTTGGACCTAGTCCAATATTTAAGTTCTAGTATTCATCAGGGCAAATAGATGATTTTGCAAGAACTGACTACAAGCACAAAAAGTTCTTGGCATAAATTAATTTAAATGCTTGGAATACCTTTTAAATTAGTCTTGCGGAAATTCATCTTCGTAACTATGGAGGGGCAATTCTCTTTAGAGCATGACAATTCTCCTTCTGACTTCTTTTTCAACTTTTTAAATGAGGAACATTTAGTAAGGGTCAGCTCTCTAAAAGCAAAGAAATAATGAAATCTTATTTTTCAGTAAGGTACATAAACATAGATGATCAGTTTTATTGTTTTGTAGTTAGACTCCTTTATAAGCCACCTTACTCATACACAACCTTTTCTGCTTTCTAACTTTAAACTGATAATGAATTGATAGGAAACATTCGTGTGTGTGTGTGTGTGTGTGTCTGTGTGTGTGTCTGTGTGTGTGTCTGTGTGCATGAGCTGGTACCAAGGCTTGAACTCAAGGACTCAAGTTCTTTCAGCCTTCTTGCCCATACTTGGCATTATGCCATTTGAGCTATACCGCCAGCTGGGCATTTTACTGGTTAACTGGAGACTGAAACTCACAAACTTTTCTGCCCAGGATGACTTCACACTGTGAAGTTCCATGTTTCAGTAGCTAGGATTAAAGGCATGAAACACCAGCGCCAAGCTATACAAACAATTTTTAGGCATACTTTTTTGTGTGCCTGTATGGGGGCTTGACCTTTGGACCTTGAGCTCTTGCTTGGCTTTTCACACCAGGCTAGCTCTAGTGGCTTTTTGGTGGTTAATTCGAGATTAGCGTCTCTGGTATGTTTGCCGGAGCTTGGCTTTGAACTGTGATCCTCAGGTCTCAGCCTCCTTAATAGCTAGCATTACATGCACAAGCCACCACTGCCTGACTTTGTACAGTATACTTTTAGGGCAAGTTTCTCCTTTTGGAGAAATAATAATTTCAAGTATCTCCCATGGCCATTAAAGGTGTCTACATTATAGAAAAGTTAACAATTTAAATCACAGACCAAAATTTACATAATATAATTTAAGGAATAGTTTTCATTGGGTGGGGGGGGAGAATAAGCAGTTAATGTTCTTGTGGTACACAAAGAGGAAATGTTGATTGTGTGCATTTATAAATCTAAATTGAATTTTGTTTGTATGAATATAATTTAGATAGCATTTCAGAAAATAGAAAAGTTCAAGAAAGGTGTCAGAAAAAAAAAAAAGCTCTACTCCCAAAACACAGTAGAGCTCAGATAACAACATCACTTACGGTAACTCTGGCAGCCCTTCAACTTGTTTCTGTTTAGCACCATTCAACATTAGCAAGGCTCTCTGAGATTCAAGGCAAGGCCGCTGTCCTATTTTCTTTAATATCTGTATCTTTCCAACTCCATGAGTACCAGTTTTCCCCAAAGCCGGCAAATAGGAACATACCTGTTGTAAAATGGTATTATATGTCTTTTTCAATTACAAAGAAGTAAAAAGAAACTACGGATCCATTGAACCATTAAGTGGGTGATATTTTCTTGATTTTACTAAAAACTATAGTAAAGTAATATAGTTGCTGTTTCTATGCCATTCAATCACTACCATCTACACAAGAAAGGAAATGCCTTTTTGAAAATCTTTTGATAGCTCTGATACTCATTTATGAAAGTTCTTTTGATCAGTCTTTTATGTCCAACTAATGATTCTTCATGTGTATATTTTTAGACTTAGGACTTATGTTCAACAAGCATTTTGTTATTTCCATTTTTATAATGGTTTTATTCCACAAAATGCCTGGAATTAAGTGGAATAAAAAGCTAAAATATCCTTAAAGGCAAATATTGGTGCCAATTTATCTAATCTGATCAAGAAACCTGTTACACATTTGCTGAAGAAAACATTACATCCTAATGATATCTACACATAGCCAGGACAAAATAGAAAGCCTAGTATTAAATATAGCTTACATGTTGATGTACCTAACACATATTATTTGTAAATTTTGCTTTATAAACACCATTAAATACCACATAAGATTTTTCAGGCTTTAGTTCCAAAACAATATTAAGTACTATAACAAGTAGGAAGCAAATATTCTTCTATCATTTTTCTCTTATTAACCTTTACTCACAAAAAATAATCAAAATGTCTATTAATTTATCTTATTTTTGACTTAGTAGTTTTTTAATGGGTTCAAAAGATTAATGAATTATGCTGTCTACCTATTAAACCAAGACAGTTAGCTGGGCTCATGCCTACCTATTCAAGGAGCTGAGATTTGAGGATCACTTTTCAAAGCCTGTGCAGAAAAGTTCAAGTTCCAGAAGTGGAGCTGTGGCTCAAGTGATAGAGCACTAGACTTGAACAAAAAAACTCTCGTCACCCAGGTCTTGAGTTCAAACCCAGAAAAGGAAGGAAGGAAGGAAGAAAGGAAGAAAACAAATGAAGGAAGGAAGGAAGAAAACAAATGAAGGAAGGAGGGAAGGAAGGAAGGAAGGAAGAAAAGGAAGGAAGGAAGGAAGAAAAGGAAGGAAGGAAGGAAGGAAGGAAGGAAGGAAGGAAGGAAGGAAGGAAGGAAGGACAAAAAACTAGAATAAAGCATTACTTACCATTTTCTGAAGAGTGAGTGGCTCAGAGGCAACATTGCTGGAGTTTTGTAAGCATAACTTTTTAAAGACTGCCTCTGCAACAAACATTTGAAGCCATGAAGAGGAAAAGGAGCAAATGAAAACTTCTAATTCCTGTGAAGAAAAGTCTATAGAAAACAAGAGAAGTAAATAGTTATTGCTAATACTGTATTGTTTTTCTCTACATGCTATTTCCTCTGTGGACTTAATTCTTTGCCTTCAAGAAAAAAAATTTTTCTGGTGAATGTTTAAACATTAAAAAAAGTCATTTTTATTTTGCCAAATCAAAGTCTCAAAATTACATCCATAAATACAAACATATACATAGAATAGCTAACATTATAACATTGTGATTGTACCAATATATGAAATATACTTCCTTCCTTTATTTATTTTTTTCAATGCAGTAGAGAAAGCAATCCAAATTTAATATGGAATTACAAAATTACAGATGAAACAGAAGGCTTAGAAATGAATTCATGGGCCTATCATGATCTTACACACACACACAAACACAGTGGAATTCTATTCACCCATCAGAGAGGATGACTTTTCACCAGTATTAATGAAAATGAAGGCTTGGTAAAATTATACTAAGAGCAAAGAGAACAGAATGCAGACTCAGAGCAATATAAGTTTCATGGATTCATTCATTTATGGTAGCCAGAAGGTGCCCACAAATCTACAAGTAAACAAGACTGATTCTACCTCGTCAAGAAGACTAACAATAGCAAATGCTGACATGGATGTAGCCAATTGGGAACTCTATTACACTGTTGGTGGGACTTAAAGAAACATAGGTCCTATGGTTTCACCTATTTGTAATAATTAGTTTACACCAAGGATAATCTCATGTATTTTAATTTGACATTTTGTCCTATGTTGAGCATACAATATTATTGCTATATTGTTTGTTATTATTTCTGCTAACAGGCAGATATATTTAAAGAATTATGTTCATCTTATCCATTACTGGAGGAAGAGCATCCAAAAGAGCAACCCTTACTAGGAAGAACAACTCCCACTTATTTAGCTTCATTCCTATGTAAGGCCAGTGTATCCTCATGTTGTACATTGTAACTCTATAACAGTTCATTTTGGGAAATATACTTCCTTTAATAAGGTTGCTCTTTTGGAAAACAAGTATAGTTCTTTTTTCCTTCCTTCCCTTCCTCATCTATCTACCCATCCATCTATTAGCCACCCATCCATCCATCTGTCCATCCATCATGTAGCTCAATTTGTCTCTGAACTCCTGTCTCCATTTTCTGAGTGCTGGAATTACATGCATATACCACAAAACTTGGCTCTAGAATACTTAATTTTAAAATAAACAGCTATATTTTTTATTTGCAAAGATCAGTCTTAAGTTGATTAAAAAAACTACACTGTATTCTCTGATAACAACCACAAATCTTAGAATAGAAGAAAAGATATAAGATAAAAATTGTAAGCAAGAGACTGTGTAAAGATTTCAATGGATGTTTGCATCCATTCTACTACTGAAGTAAATTTAAATGATGTAATTTAAACAAAAACGATATTCTAAAAGCCTCAAAACTCCTGTATAGAAAAACTTCAAGTGCTCCAATAAGATGGAAATGCATTAATACATACATGTATTGATGAGGTCATTCATCTAAAAAAGGAGCCCATCTGGCAGGTTTACAGAAGATAATAAACTATTATACAGAGCATGAACAAAAAGATCAACATAGGAATATGAGAAACAGTCCAGGGCTAAGTTTGTTTTTTGGAAGTACTGTGATCAGAACTCAGGGCGTCATGTTTGCTAAATGGAGCGCTACTACTAGAGGAACTCTGTCAACTCCTTTTCATGTTATTTTTGAAAAGTTTCCCAACTGTGCTTCCTAAGTAGCTAGGATTTCAGGCTAGAGCCACCACACTTGACTTGGAATGTAAGATTTAGAAGGGCAGTCAATTTTTGAACCCCTTATGTTTAGTACTAACCTATGTACAATGAACATTGAGTACATGACAAGTAACAATAACTCATAATAGAAAGCCACAGCAGGAAATCATTTAAAAAAAGCTGATCAGAACTTCTAATTTCCACTGTAGCTTATAAATTTCTTATTCCTTTCTTTGGCCTTATTCCAATCACTCTTATTGATGTTACAATTATCCAGGTACCAAAAGGCTTCACAGAGTCCTAGTGCTTTTCCACTTTAGAATTTTGATAAATTTCTGCAGCTAGAACACTTGTTCATGATTCTACTAAACTTCTACTTATTCTTTAGATCCTGTGTTCCATGATAATATAAAGTAAGTTCACCAATCTCAATAGTTACCTTTTCCGAATTTATTTATATATTTATTTATTGTTTGTCCTGGGGCTTGAACTCAGGGCCTGGGCACTGTCCCTGAGCTCTTTTGCTCAAGGCTAGTGCTCTACCATTTTGAATTACAGCACTACATTCTGTTAATTGGAAATTCGGAGGCTGGCTTTGAACCTTGATCCTTAAATCTCAGCCTCCTGAGTCACTAGGATTATAGGTGTAAACCACCAGCACCTGGCCCTTGAGCCTTTTTTTGGGGGGGGGGCGTTAAATTAATGAATATATATATATATATAGAGAGAGAGAGAGAGAAAGAGAGAAAGAGAGAGAGAGAGAGAGAGAGAGAGAGTAAAGATACTGTACGGAGGGGTTACAGTTACAGGAATAAGGTAACGAGTACATTTCCTATCAAGCATTGTTATCCCCTTCTTTGATTTCCCCCTACCATCCCTCCCCACCTCCCCCAGCCTTTTAAGGCCAGTACTATACTACTTGAACTACACTCCTAGCTTTTTGGTGATTAATTGGAGTTAAGAGTTTCAAAAACTTTCCTGCCCTGGTTGGCTTCAAGCCTTAATCCTCAGATAAAAGCCTTCACATCAAGCTAAGATTACTGGTGAAAGTCACTGATACCAGGCTGAAGTTTTTATTTTTAAATGTTGTACAGTGATATGTTTACACTAAATAAAGACTAAAAGCTAAGGATCATGTTTTAGTTACCTCTTTCACCAGAAACTGTTTAGCTGAATGCCTGTTACAATGCCAATAAAAATTAATTGAATAAATGAGTAGAAAAGAAACATTGTCACTGAGATAATCAGTAAAATAAAAAAAAAGTATTTGTTGAAAAGGACTGAGCGAAGATTAAAAAAAAAAGCAAAATTGACGGGGCTGGGAAGGTGGCTCAGTGGTAGAGCAGTTGCCTTCCATGTATTAGGCCCTGGGTTCGATTCCTCAGCACCACATAAGCAAAAAGAAAAAAGCCGGAAGTGGCACTGTGGCTCAAATGGTAGAGTGATAGCCGTGAGCTGAAGAGCTGAGGGACAATGCCCAGGCCCAGAGTTCAGGCCCACAAAAAAAAAAAAAAAAAGGCAAAATTGAATGCAACTTAGAAAAATATCAGGAAAAGATAATCATGCAACCCAGGAAGGTTAAAGTTTATTAAATGTCTTTTTTCTTTTCAATAAAAACAAGAGAAATAGTAGTTGAAAGTAAAGGATTAGCAAAGTATACATTGCTGTCTGTTTTTATGAATAAACTTTTATTGGAAGACATGTTCAGTTATTTATTACTTGTAATTACTTTCCTATTATAACTGCTACATAGTTGATAAAGGCATCCCTACCCTCTGAAATATTTTACAACCTGGTACTTCACTTTTTTTTTTTTTTTTGTCTGGTCATGGGACCTGAACTTTGGGTCTGGGCGCTGTCCCTCAGCTCTTCAGCTCAAGGCTAGTGCTCTACTGCTTGAGGCACAGGGTCCTTCCAGCTTTTTTCTTTTTGCTTATGTGATGCTGAGGAATCGAATCCAGGGCCTCATGCATGCAAGGCATGCGCTCTACCACTGAGCCACCGTCCCAGCCCCTGGTACTTCATTTTTAAAAAAAGTTTGTTAGACCTAAATTAGGCCAATACATCAAGAATTTCAATTAGGTAAAACATAAATTTTAGATAGTTTGATGCTTTAACATATAGAAATGAAATTCTATCTAGTGTTCCGAAAGGAAAGAACATGGTAACTATATGGAATTGAGGAGCATTAGATCTCATGGAAAAGAGAATGGTTTTTGTTACTTATCCTCTCAAACACTTACCTCTTTAATCTTTGAAACAAGTATAAACTAAGAGCCACTACATTAAAGTTAAAATGAGAAAGAATAAATTTGTAAAAACATAAAATACTATAATTTTACTTTGCTTATTAGCTACAGCAAAGTTAGAAGATATTTTATACTCTTAAGGTTATTTACTTATTTCTGTCTCTTGACAAAGTTAAAAATCAAGCTTGTACTAACTACAGAACTAAAAGATATTAAACTGAACTAATTTTACAACTATATAAAAGGGGTGACACTGATCCAGATACATTGTTCTCATAAACTGACATGTTGAAATGAAACCCTTTTACTTGAGGATAATAAGAAAAATATGTGAGAAAAATTTAAAGAGCATTCCTATTAGCTAATTTGAAATCTATGAAATCAACTATCTAGGTAGGCATAAATGTGTATAATGTTTTCACAAGAGTAAGGCTTAAAAATACTTATCAGTGACATAAAATATACATCATCTAGTTTTAAATATGAGTGATTGCAAAGATCCTTGGCACCAAAGTAATCATGTGTCCACAGGACTGTACAGTAACATTAAGGTTGTAATTTTGATTCACTACTTTCAGGGTTTAAAACTCTGGATAACAATGCATTGATTGCTTCAGAGTGAAGGGAAATTCAGAGAATGAGTAAAGCAAACATTGAAATGGAGGTATAACACATAATAATTAATACAAGATTCATTATTTCACACATTAGGCTAAAGTATAACTTATATTTCATTAAAGGCAATCACATAATAAGCCAAATGTTTAGTCCTTATTTTAGCCAATAATACCAGAATTCCATTATTTCTTAAAGGATAAATAACACCAAACTACTAGTATGAATAGTGGAAAAGACATGGTAAGGGTTCTGAAAAAAGACTGAATTTGAACTAAGAAATGTTAAAAATGTACTTCACAATGGATAGATAGTCCACAAAAGAAACAGTAATCATTCCCTCAGCTCAAGGAAAAAGAAAAAAAGGAAGGAGATAAAATGCTTTAGATAAAAATCTTCTAACTTTGGTAGCATAAAAAAAGACCTCTCTTTGCAGAGGGCATCATTGAATAACTTCTGAACCCACTTGTAACCTGGATTCCTATTTTAGAATCTTTCTTTCAAAGTATTACAGGAATTGAAAGAAGATTTAAGAACTTTTTAAAAAGAATTTAAAAAATTAATCATGTCTCTCATTTGAAGCCCATAGAAGTCTCATTTGTTTTAAAAAAATGTCCATTTCCAGAATGTGGGGTTACAGAAACAAAAGAAAGGGAGGACGAAGGGATGAAGGTCAGAGGAGACACAATTTTCCCTAAACTGTGAAGTTAGAGAATGTATATAAGGTCTTAAGGAAGTCTCCCTCTATCTGTAGACCTAAAAAATTGAGAACTTTTCATGGAGTGACAGAAAAAGAGTTCTATCATTGTATTTCTTAAATACTACTCTTTCCAATCAGCTTCAGAGGAAACTTTAATAACAAGTAGGTACTGTGGTGGAGTGGAGGAACAATACATGTACGCAAGTTATGTTTATTTCTTGTTAGAGAACATTATGTGCTGGGCACTGGTGGCTCACACCTGTAATCCTAGCTGCTCAGGAGGCTGAGATTTGAGGATCATGGTTCAAAACCAGCCCAGGCAGGAAAGACTGTGAGACTCTTTTTTTTTTTTTTGTGAGAATATCATACAGAGGAGTTACAATTACAAGGGCAAGATAACAAGTACATTTCTTATCAAGCATTGTTATCCCCTTCTTTGATTTCCCC